TTGACAATTTATTTCAATTAAAATTGTTTTCATAAAAAAGTATGTTTTTATTGTTAGTTTTTACTAGTTCGTTATAAGGAAGTGATTTTTTTTATCCGTACTTTCAAAGTTTTGGTTTAGCTTATTAGTTATTTTTAAAAAAAAATTTTTAGCAAAAAAATTTTTATACTCGTGTAAAATTCAAAAAGCATATAAATAATGCATATGCAATTGAATAATGCAACTGAAGTCTCTTAAACAGATTATTCTCAGCTGGTTAAAAGGCAGATGCTGCAGAAAGTTTAATTCCTAACAATTTTCATGTAAAAAATAATTTTTCCATAAAATGTTCATTATCAAATTAAAAAGAAAGAGGTATCGAATTATAGTAGAAAAATGTAAAACATTTGAAATAGATTTTGTATTTTTCTAAACATTAAGCTCACAATTCTATAACAGTTTTAATAACAATATTTACTAATTGTTTGAATTCTTTTTTTTATAGTACTACAGCCTTAAAATTTATTATTAGATCTATTACATTTATTATTAGATTTTATAACCATCTTTTTGATTCTTCCTCTGCGTCTTAAGTTGATTGCTTTCAAATTTTAGATTTTTCTTAAACCCTTATTTTCGTTCATTTTTCCTATTTTATGAATCTAATTACATTTTTCTGTTTAAATAAATGATCAATTGCTTATTTTAAGTTTTGAATTATTGAAATTTTTTATAACCTCAGAACATTTTGAAGTAAATGTGAAACAGTAAAATCTAAAAATTTACAAAAAGAGAAAATTTAAAATTTAATAAAATCGTAGTTCATGCTCAATAATTCACAAATACCAAAGCTTTACACATATTTTCTGTATAATCAATTAGTGCACAATACTAACATAGTGCGGTTTACTAACAACTAATTAACTATATGATTAAGCTACTATGGATTAATTAGCTATTTTGCGTTATTTTTTTAATCACCTTGTATATTTGCTTTTTTCTGTCAAAAGATTTTTTTTTCTTCCTGTAAACTAAAGTTCTATAAACTTAGAAACTAGCGAGGTTTGCTGTATACAAATAGGATTTAAATACTGTTTACTGAAATGTAAAACCGCGGAAACATTTCCTGAACTTGAAAAAGAGGCATTTTCACCTTTACTAAAGTAGAAAAATAAGGAGTTAATAATTTTTCATGGATCGATGATCACGAAAGATGAAGTATGGGGAAAAAGAAAAGAATAAATTTGTGAGATAAGGAACTGTGCGTTCTAACGTATCTAAACGTTTCTTACCCGATCAAGAAGCTATTTATATTACTAAAACTTTTATTTTTTTCAAATGTCTACTATATGATTAAGTCTGGCATGTTTGTTGCAGGGACTTATCAGTAAAAATTGCTTTATTTCTGTATTTTAAATAAAAGTTTTTTAAGATTTTATCTTTAAGTTTCTTTGTTGTTTTTATATACTTTTTATAATGTGTAGTACTTTATAAATATAGCATTAAAATGTCTGAATGAATTTTTAAGCTGCTGTTCATAAGACACTTATTTTCTCTCTTAATATTTTTGTTTCCTTTGTCTATGTACTTAATTTTTTCCCCTTTTTTAAAAAAAAAAAAGCATATGGATAATTTTTTAATATTTTAAATTCTATTCTTAAGTGTATTTATTTTGTATCGAATAAGCTTAAGGCTTAAAACAAATAACGTTACATAGTTTACAGTAGTCATAAAATACTAATATAAAAGAACTGAAAGCAATTAAGCAGATTAAATTTTTAAAAAAAGGATCAATAAAAGTTTTTTTCATTAACATAAGTAACATTTAAGTAACGGTATCATAAGCAACATTTACCACATTAATTTATGTGAATATTAATAAAATTATAAACGCATATAACTACTAATATATTTACTACTACGAGTCTTAAAGAAGATTGTCTTAAAAGGTAAACGTTTGTTTATTTTTTTTTAAAAAATTTAGACCCCGCGTAATTACGTGATGCTTCTAATTTGTTTTCATTAGACTTACCTATTCAATTGAACTTGTGAGACTTTCGTATAAGATTAATTTTGATATTGATAATGTTTTTCCAATCTATATATATAAAAGAAAGTCGTGTTAGTTACTTCACTTATAACTCAAGAACGGCTGAACCGATTTAGCTGAAAATTGGCAGGGAGGTAGTTTAGAGCCAGGAGAAGGACATAGGATACTTTTTATCCCGTGCGATAAACCGTTCCAGCGATATCAGTGAAAGTCGAAATGGAATTTTCTGATTGGTTAAAAGCTAGCCATTGTTTTAAATTTTGCTATAAACGATTCAATTTTCAAATATCTTGAAGATAACAACAGTGATATTTTCTATCTTATAACTCTATTCATTTAGAAAAGTAAATTAAAGTAAATTGCATATACTTTAATTTTTAATTCGCGCTTTTCTTTATGTCAGGTGAGCACAAGCAAGTAAAATCAACGAGAATAGATTTCTTAATTGTTGGTCGTATCACGGATTCAGTACTGTGAAAACTGTTTAATAAATATAAAGACAAAAGCAAATTTCATTCAAATTGCACGTTTTCAGAAATATTTATATTTAGTACGTAATTTTAGGTTAGCAAAATTAAATATACTTTTCGAAGATTTCAGTGCTGTGACAGTTGTCATTTGAAAACTATTAGTTTGTTTGTTTATTTATGCAAAGTTTTCGAATTCATCCATTTTATTTCTTTCATTTATAAAATTGATTTTTGTTTTAAATCTTATAATTTTCATATTTCTTATTCATCTCATTTTTATTGCTCTTTTTATTATTTAAAATATGTATGTGATATTTCGATTTAGCAAATTTGCGACCACTGCCAACTTTTACATTTCTTTTTCGTTGTCAGAAAGAATATTTGCAAAAATATGCCGCCTAAGCAAATCGCTCTTAGTCGGTCGACATCTCAAGCGCGCAAAAAGAGAACTACCCGTGTTTCAGAAACATCGGAGCAACGGGAAAAAGACTTGAAACTAATCGAGAACAGAATGCTTTTGCCCGTTCCTTAGAAACGTCTGAGCAACAGGAAAGAAGACTGTCAACAAATCAACTACGAACTACACAAGCCCGTTCGTCGGAAACATCAGAGCAACGGGAAGCAAGAATGAAAACCGACCGAGAACGCATTTCGCTATTCAGACGCTGCCAATACTCTGATTTGAATTTCAGTGCATTTCACTATGATCCGACAACAAACTATAGTCTTCCCCCAAGTGTCATCATCGGAGAAATATATCAATTATGTATGTTTTGTAATGCTCTCAAATTTAAAAATGAAACAGCTGAAATTTGCTGTTCTAGAAGCATACAGAAACTACAAGATTTTACGTCGCCTGCCGAGACATTATCAACCTTCGTATCAGGTCAAACAAACCAATCGAAACATTTTTTGGCGCATATACGCCGGTACAATTCGTGTTTCTAAATGACTTTATTCGGTGCTACACGTATCCTGAACGAGAATTACATCCCAACATTCAAAGTGCAAGGCCAAATTTATCATCGTGCAAGGATCACTTCTTTCAATGCCTAACGCAGATCATAAATTTCTACAAATTTATTTCATGGATAACACAAATGATCAAGTCAATCAACGTTGTCAGGTAAACAATGGCACTAAACGAAAAATTGTTACCGTATTACAAAAATTTTTCGATCAACATAATCAGTTAATTAGGCTGTTCACAATTGCCCTAGACTAAATGTCATCCGATATTTACAAAGTTGTTATTAGAGCTGAAAAAACACCTGTAGGCCACCACAAAGAAAAATACAATGCGCCAACATTGGATGAAGTGGCTATTGTTATAGTTGGCGAAGAATTTACCTCCCGCGATACAGTTCTTCATCGCAGAAATCGTGACGTTCAAAGAGTTCTCAGAAACGTATCGATCATATGATGCATTGCAATATCCTATTTTATTTTGGTGAGGAGAGGAGGGATATTATTTTAACATAAAATTAAGAAGTCCGCAAACAGGCGAGAAAACCAATAAGAAAGCAAGTGCAATAAGTTTTTATGCATATAGATTAATGATTGCCAAAACGCTGATAATCATACTTTAAAATGTCGACAATTAGTTCATCAATACATTGTCGATATGTATGCGAAAATTGAAACTGAACGCCTACTGTATATTAAATTAAATCAAACCAAATTACGTTCAGAAGAATGCATTCATTTACGGGATGCAATAATTAATGATGGTAACGTTAATCCTAATGATGTGGGGAAAATGATTATATTGCCGACTACATTTGCAGGGAGAAAAACTTGGACTCCCTGCAAATGTAGTATTCATACATGTCTGAGTATTCATACATGTGCCTTGGACTCCAAGGCACATGTATGAATACTCACAGGATGCAATGACATATGTTCTCGCATATGGGCTCCTAGATTTATTTATTACATTTACGTGCAATTCTGCTTGGGTTGAAATTAGAGATATTTTGTTACCAGGACAATCATCATCGGATCGTCATGATATTACAGCACGTGTGTTCAAACAAAAATGATAATCTTTACTTGATTTCATTGTGAAGCGTCATGTTTTTAGAGAGACACGGTGTTGGGTGTACTCTATTGAATGGCAAAAACGAGGATTGCCTCAGGCACACATTCTAATTTGGCTTATTGAAAAAAAACCACCTTCTAAAACTGATCAGATATCAGCAGAAATTCTTGATGTCACCATAGATCCAGTCTTATTTCAGATCATTGTCCAAAATATGTTTCATGCTCCGTGTGCATCACCATACATGTCTGTTTGAAAATGCACTAATGATATCCTAGAGAATTAACTGCTTTTTTTCACCATTAAATAAAATTTGCATTTCAAATCATAATCGCAAATGTCATTTACACACTTAAATACAAAATTCAAATTCAAATTGAAAGCGTTGCAACGCACGCAGGGTACAGCTAGTTAATTATAAAACTTAAATTTTAATTTACGATTCATTTATTCTTTTCAGGGCATTATTCAGATATAAAGGAGCTCAAATCATTCACGATGGTTCCGGTGAAAATATAGACGATCTAAAACAGCTCTTATCAGGTACGCATTTCATAATTTTCTTCAAGATGAATTAAGCGTACCTAAAATACACTCGATAAAAACAACAACATTTAACCGAAATTCACACTTTTAAACCTTCAGAAATATTGATCATTTGATTACTTTTTAAACTTAATTCTTTCTAAGGAGTTTTTCGTTCTTAAATAAGTTCTCTTAGAAAATTATATCATTTTTCTACTATTACAATCTGAAAGTATTATAAAGGTATGTGTAGAAATTCGAATATTTACTAGTTCGAATATTACTACCTTACAGAAATGTATAGATTTGCGTTGGTACGTAATTTAATTCAGTATTAAACGGTAATTCTAAGAAGAAAGTATTAATGAATACACATTAATGTAGCAAAGTGAATAAGTAATATATAAAAGAATAGTGATATAAAAAAATGGTAATATGAAAAAAGGTTATACCTTTTGCGATCAGAATTTATGACTTGATCTGATTGCTTATACAAGATTTTTGTCAAGGAAGAAATCTTGTGTTCTGGTTAAGCAACTTCAAAGGAGAATTCTTAAATTGAGGACATTTCTCCAGCCCAGTTTTTAAACAAATACTTGACGAGAGGTGAGTTTTTATTTATTATTTTTGAAAATCATTTTAGAAACTGATTATTTCGGGTTTTACTAATTTAAACTTCTCTTTGGAAATACTTGGCGGATCCCTCCTTTTCTCGCCAAAATCAAGAAATTTTGTACACAATTCATTTTAAATAGCTTCCTTCGCTCTTTCCACGTTGGTCTTATTCAACATCTCATAATGAACTATATAACCTTTATACACTTAAAATATTGTAGATGATATTACAATGGTAACCTAAGAAAAATGGTTAGGTTTAAACATTATCATGTAGATAGTGATATCAATATAACAATGACAGAAAAGAATATAACAGACAAGTGAAACCCTGGATCAAGCATTGGAACAAACTAGCTTTCGTGGAGGACTTTTTGACGAATCTAAACCGCATTTGCCTTACATGGAGAGGGAAAGCATGGGAATTCTAACCCATGATCCGTCTACCACTGAGGATATTTTAGTTCAGCACTGCGAATCGGGAGGCTCACCTCACTGGGAGACGAAAGCTATATTCCTTGAGCAACCGCGGCTCATACAATGTTTAAAAATCTATTGCAACACTATGAAAGAATTGAAGCTGTCAATGTTAAAAGGGGGTATGTTACAAATCTGCACTTTCGAGGGGGGGGGGCGGGAACTGTCAAATGTGAAAGCATTGTTTTAATTTCTTCCAAATTGTTGGATTCTCTTTAGGCATTCTGAAAAATTATTCGGTATTTGATAATCGGTGATTGATATTCAAAAACTAACAAAATACTTATTTTCATAAAAGTTTTACATACCCCCTCAATTCAATTGTCAGAAATTAATGAAATTTAATCCACATTTTACTTATGCAGTGCTGGGAAAAGTATAAATTGTGCAAAAAGTTGCCAAATATGAAACACCACTGTTATGACTGAGTGTTCAAATTTATTTTTTAATTGCAAAATGTAGAACCTAATTACTTTGCATGACAATTTTATTTTTATTCTGCATATTTAAATTATGGCAAAATTTACATAATCATTTTATTTTATAACCGTCGTTGAACAGCCGACCCAATTTCATGGGTTTACGACTACTAACGTTCAACTCCGTAGCCTTGTAATTTTGAACCAATCCAGAAGACAAGGAAACTCCTGGATCAGTACCCCCAGAGGTATTGATTTGTTGTGGGAACATGGAGGACTTTGAGACTCGACAGATTTAACGTGCATCAGCCACCATTTACTATCGGCCGGCGAGGATCGAACCCACGACCTCTTGGATATGGGCCCAGCGCCCTACCGACCAGATGTTCGATGTTTGGTGAAAGAGTTTGAATAATATGATTTAAGATTGTAACCCAACTAAACAGTATAGGGGTTCGTTTATTTATTTTTTCAAAATTAGAATGAAATTCCTGAGAATATTTCATTGCAAGTATTTTGAGTTTATTTCCTAGAAACGTTTTTGAACGGGTATTATTTTATTTTTTATAAGTTGATTTTGATTGTACTCCTTGGGGACTAAAGAGATCTTATTTAGCCACACAGATGTGTCCCCCCATAATTATTTATCTTTAAATGTTCTGGAAAAAAAAAACCTCAACACATATGTATTATACCCTAGAACACAATGAATGTGGCATGTATATTTCTATTTATGATCTTTCTAAATCGTATTACAGAACAGAAGTGCTTTTCCAATCTTGATGTAATCCTTGCATCATTTACTCTTCGAATTTTAACTTACTCTTAAAGCAACGCCCTCAAATTTGCTTTAAACGAAAATTTGTATTTGTCTTAATTTTTATTCATAAAATTTAATCTTTTGTTTAATAAAACATGCTAGGCTCTTATTTACTTACTCTCCAACAGAGGCTCCCTATATACATAAACCTGTTGAAGTTTGACGAAGTGAAATGTTTTAAAAAGTTAAACAATTTGTTTTCATTGATATTTATAGTTTCTTTTAAGCTAAATATTTCCAAAATAAGTAATTAAGAACGTTAATAACTATAACTTTTTTTTTTTTAAATGTGTAGCACACCAGGTAAATATTAATTACGTTTTCAGCAAGTGTCAGTAATTACGTTGTCAGCAGCTCTCTCACAACAGCGCAAATTCTTTGGATATGTGTTTTTTTAGCCATTAAAAAAGTACATTTTTAAATCATCTCGCCAGTGAAATACTGAAACACGATAAAGTAGTATTTAATTCCTCATTGCTTTACCTGTTTTTTAAATTTCATTTGTAAGTTTAACTACTTATGCGGCATTTTCTAGAGTCCTGACACATATCTGATGTTTATCGTTTTTAAATTTAGAGCTATTGAATTTAATTCTTCGAATATTTTTTAGAAATTGTCATTTTCTTTTTAGATGATGATCGTGCCTTTGCATTCGTTCGTGTTCTGGCCGGTGATGAAATGAGCAAGAGAAAGAAATTCGTCCTTCTTACATGGGTTGGTGCCAATGTCAGCACGCTCAAAAGGGCGAGAGTCTCCATTGATAAAGCTCTAGTAAAACAAGTCATACAGGTGAATTACTACAAATAAACATTTTTTAAACTATCATACATTTCAGGCATAAGCATCGCAGGGATCCAATTTTTGCCTGCGATTATATTAAAATACAGAGTCACAATAATTCTCCAACATAATTTTTTTTTCTATGGGCTAAATATCTGCAAAAAGATTAATTATTTTTATCTCTATCTTGTTTTATCTTTGAGTTTTAATCAATAATGGTTCATGAAAATTTTATTTCCTTGAAATATTGAGACGGACTTAGAGATATTTCTAATTATTAAGGGGGCATATAACCACTGTACAATCAATTATTCCTCAACTAGAAATTTCAAGCTTATAAATTATTCCTCAACTAGAAATTATGTTAAATTAAACAAGAAATTTTTTCGCATAAAACAGATGAAATTGTAGAAAAACTTCTAAAGTTTTAAAAAACTGTCTTTAAAATTCGTGGCTCTGGCCTTAAATATGCCTATTAATTAATCCAAATGCTTTAAGTTACTAAGTCAGAAACAAAAAGCTTTTTTCTGAATAAACACATCTTTTTTCCACCGATTTGAATATAACCTACCTGGAAATACTCTCTATATTGTTATGCATATTTATTTTGTTCATTCAATTTTGTCTGCAGATTCATTTTTGCTTTTTTCGTTCTCTTTTTGGGTACTTTGGTTAGATGAATTTTATAATTTTATGCAAGATAATTTTATGAAAAATTCATTTCCTATAAGTTTTATTTGTTAACTGTCAAAACTTTATTTAAATGTAAGTTTTATAAATTGTTATTTCATTTGAAACTAAATTTTAAATAACAAAATAAAAAATTAGAGTGAAAACGGCTAAATAGTTTTAGAGTAATGAAATTTTTTAAAAAGTTGTATTTTAAATTTTTTTGTTCAAATTTTGAATATTGTCTGCTAATATGTCATTAAAAATTATGTAAATATTTGTATATCTTTCAAATTAACCATTATTAAATTACCTTAAGATGAGATTCTTTTGAATGACAAAATACATAAAAATTAAATGTAACATTAAGGGGCTCACACTTTTAACTGTAACCAAATTTTAAGATTCGAGAATCTAATCTTGTCTAAAAAAGAATTAAATTAGAGAAACAAAATTATGTCCAATTTTGTACCTTTCAGAATTTCAACTTAGTTTGTGAAGATTCATTCCATCATAAATTATTTTATTTATTTATTTTGTCACTACACTCATATCATTCAGATCCCGGAAAGCAAAGGAGATATTAAAATAATCAAAAACCAATTTTATTTGTGTAGTTGGAATAGGAAAGCACTTGCCCTTTTGCTAGAAACAACCATTAAGCCACATTCTCTAATAAACTGCTTTTGTCTCAATACTAATCTTTTCTCTGCTTTTACAAACTTTAATAGGGATTGGTCAAAATTGAAAAACATTTTTGTTCTTTCTTACTTCAATATAGACCCCTAATATACTTACTATTTTGGAATCCTTTTTTTTTTCTTCCTATAAGGAGTCCAAAACTATATAAAATTAAAGACAGTCATAGGAGAACACCTTATATATATACACACACATAGCGAAAAGTCATAATCTTGATTTTAATAGCATCATAAAGTTGTGGATCTAATAAACCTACCAAATAAGGGTCTTGGACTACGACTGTTAATATTAGAATCATCAACAGAGCATTCCGAAAATGACTGGTTTAAAAAATTACAGAAATATGGTGACTTTTTCTGGTGTTCTGAATTTTTGTTCTCATTAAATTTCAAAATTTGTTAACATTCTTCAACAGGTGGTGCTCCTAATTTAAAAAAACCGTGAAACAATGTCAGACCATTCTAACTTAAATATTTGTATTGGTGTCTGAAAACTTTGTCCTCAGACTACATTGGTGATTGTAAAAACATTGTTTTATAATTTTCTTTAAGTTAACAACACCATCTGTTGACAAACTTTTATCTCCTTTTGAGATGGGGAAAGAAAAACTAGTTTCCTAAGTAGAGCACAGAAATACTTACAATTCTTATTCAGTAACATTTTTGAGACTCTGGGTAGATATAAGTTAAATTTTATGTATATCTGTTACAAGAATCCACAAAAATTAATATAAGATATTTCTCTATATTACAGAATTTCGCTGTAGAATTGCAGATAGAATCTCCAGATGAGCTTTCAGACGAATATCTGAGAATGGCAGTGGACAAAGTTGGGGGAGCAAATTATGGAACTGGTACGAGAAGTTGAGGCTGGACCTTTTGTATTTTGTATCCGTTTTCAAATTTGTTTAATGAGCTGTCTGTAAGATTTATATAACTGTATAATTTTGTCATCAGAATGTTTGTAATCTATTCAGAACTTTCTGGAATAAAGCGCGTTATATACTTAACAAATTGCTTCTTTATCGTTTAATTCTAGGGTAAGAAGTAAAACTCTATATATCGCTCTCAATAATATTTTTTATAAAAATGAACATCAAATATTTCAAAGATTACGCCTAAACTGTATGGTTTAAGGCTAATAAAAATTTGCAAAAATTTAAATTATCGCTTGATTTTAATTATTTTCAGTTAAATAATTTATAATCATCATCACAATCTGATACCTATGTTAGTAAAAGGCAGCTTATGGGAAAATTTTCATTTCCTGGGTTTTCTCTTATACATATTTACGGATATGCCAAAATACTATCAAATATTATGGCAATATTATTTAGAACTATATTTCCATACTTAGGATCACTGAAATGATAATTTTGATAGAACATTCACTATCAATTGATATTTAGTAAAGGTCTGGTTTCTTAGAACTAGCGCCTTATCTGGGCGTCAGCGGAAAGTTGAAGTAGAGCTGACGCCAGAAAAATACTTTTTTTGTTAGCTCAGCGTGAGCAGACATTATCTCTCATTGCGCATGCGTTAATAACGTAAACAAATATTTATTTTGAATTTGTTATTGTCGACCAGTGTTTTAGAGAACAAATAATGACTTTGTCCAAGAAAAAACACATTATAGCTGAGCTAAGAGAAGCTATGTTTAATGTCAAAATCAAAATCTTGTCTGATTTCAATGTGCTGTTGGATGTTGTCCTCCATTGCTTCTGTGGTTAACGTCACGTTGTAATCCAACTGCAGTTGAGTTGGACGGCAGTTGTAGTTCAAGATGAGCGTTCGATGACGTATGCTATCAAACTCACAAATGGACCAATCAGAGGTTAGCGCTGATTTCCAGCTGACGGCGTCCTGTACTAAGAAACCAGGCCTTAAGGAATATTTCTCGCATACACCAAAGAAATTATGTGATTGTTGACACTCTTAGCATTCATGATAGAAATGCAACATCAAAACAAAATATTTTGAGAAATACTTTATTATTTATAAAAATTAGTTTTCACAGTTGAAATTTCAACATGAAAAATAGCAAATTATATTAAGCAACAGTCTTACAACAGATGAAGCTTTGCAATAATTGAAAATTACTAAAAATTGTTCATTGGAATTGATTATCTGGAAGGCTCTAGGATATTTGATATTCATTTATCATTTTCTAGCTTGAAAAATGGATTTGTCTTCATCTCCAAATTGTGGTGCTAATGTTTGTAACATTTGGCAGTCTGATGCAGTAGCAAATAAAGTTGATAACAAAGCAACTCCATATCCTGTGGCCCTTTCACCCTATTAACAATCATTAAAATATATGTACAATTAGAAGTGTAAAGCAGTTTTATGGCTATAGAAATGATGAGAAACACTTACTGAATATGAAACTTTGGACATATCAATGTGAATCCAATTTCCATCAAAATCAAATCCAATGTGTGAACCAATAAAAAGACCTGCACATGCTGAAGCAGCATTACTTGCATCCTAAAATAGAAACAATAACTTTATTTAAATAAAGAGAAAGCATGAACTTTTCAGAAGAACTTTTTTTATTTGCTAGCTTGTATTTTTTGTAAATTAATTTTTCATTAAAAAAAAACAGTACTTTACTTTAAAATCTTAATCATACATTATTAATATTCAGTGGTATTATAGAACTACATTGTTTCTGGAAAACACTTAATAATAGAATACTTGTATCACCACTTAAAAAAAAAAAAAAACATTATAAAAGGATGCTATTCACAAATGGGTGTAAAATTATAAATTTTTCATGAAAGACTAATTTGATATAAATTAGATGCTATAAGAATGTTCTGAAATGTCAGTTGATTAACACTAGAAACACCTATATTGCCCGAAAGAATAAATATTAACAATAATAAAATTATATGTTGTACAAAAAGTCATAAAATTCTAAGAAATTGTGTCATCATTGTTTTTCTAATTGAAATTAAAAATCAGTCAAAATGACTTCCTTGGGCAATCTAGTGTTAACATAAGAGACAAAACAATTTTTAAGAAAGTTAATTAAAATTACAAAAGCCTTACCGCTACAGCATTTTTCATGTCAGCCATGCAGCTATGAAATTCATTAAAATGAATCTCAGGTGTATAGGGAAGAGGATGGATTAGATCTCCAGAATTTTTTCCAGCTCGAACAGTGGCCTTTTCCCATTCTTCACTATTTGTTAATAATGCAGCATGGTATTTACCTGTCGATATTCCTTGAGCGCCAGTTAAAGTTGCCATGTCTAATATAGTTGTAGCACATAAATCTTTTTTAGCATAAAATACCTACAAAATTTAAAATCCACTTACTTAAAACCAAGTTCAAAATATTTACTACAACTTCATTTGAATATCATAAAAAAACATTAGCATTAAGCCAGATCATTGATGATTTATGACTTAATATTGAAAGTACAAAATAATGGGATTATAAACTATAGTGATTCACTCACAAGAAAAAAAAAAGTAGAATGAAGTATGTAAAATATATTATATAATTTTAGGGATAAAAAAAAAATCTGTTTTTTAAAGGCCTTTTATTTATGTTACGATTGTTTTGCGTAATTTTACATGACATATCAACCAAAACATTTTGAAATGCAAGTTTTTAGAAATGGTTTAATTTCAAAAAACTTAAACATTAAGTACCAAACCCAATTAAAACATGAAGAAATTTAAAGCCTGGTTCCTTTTGAAATAACAAAAAAATTTGTTTCCCCATTAAAATCTACCAATTTATCACAACTTTTTTTCCCCTTTAATGAACAGGTAGGCTAAATTCAGACACTAATAACTACTGTAATTAAAAAATGTGCCTACAGATAAAATTTTATATCACAGTTACACATCTAATTTTGTTCCCATATAATAAAATCAGTTTCAATTGTATTTTGTCCAAAGTAATTTAAAAAACACTTACCCCATCTCCTAAAACAAGGCGACCTTCAGCATCAGTATTATTTACCTCTACAGTCCTAAAAATAGAAATTTTATAGCAACCTCACATCAACTGAATATAGCTAATTTATTAATACATTACAATCATTCAAAATTTTGTAAACAAAATAAAAAAAATGGTCTATTATGATCATTTGGCTCAAAAATGGTTTGAAAACCATTCCGATGTTGATTTTAAATCAATATATAACAAAACTAATCACATGTTCATGATGCCAGTCAAGGATGAAATGTTAGCATATTACAAAAAATAAATTAAAGAACATTTTATAAAGATAGAAAAACTACTTTGTAAACTGTAAAATTGATTAACTAACAATATTAATGTTTAAGTGCTATTTTCTGTGTTATGGGAATTATGAAAAATTTAACAGGCAAATAGCATAATAGCAAAAGATATAATAAATAAAATAGTAAATATATATATATATATATATATATATATAGAACAAAAAAACTTTACATACTTCTTATTTTGCCTTGCTAGAAATATTAAAATTAAATGAACTTTTTCAACTAAATTGACCTTGCTACAAATTAATTTTCGATCCATTTGGATTATTATAAGATTTTACTCCTTTTACTGAATTTCTTTGGGTGTTAAAATATTTTAATCAAAGCATTAAAATCAGAGCTGCGACAATCAATGTTCAGTTTTTCTCTTAATATTATTACAATCATTTCAACAATTTTATAATATAATTAAATTAACATAACTTATTTCAATAATTTTTTAAAAATATTTAGCCTATATGGAATATATTTTAAAAGATTCAAAATACTTTAAATAATTTCATAATTCAGGCATATAACATTTATAGTTAAAAGAATTAGAGTAATAGTTGTCCAAGATGTAAAGTTATTTACATAAATAACTAATTTTTCATTGCAGGATAATGTAACAGAGGCATCCTAAAATGGGTCATTAACTATATAATTATTTATAAATTAATGAATAGAAAGAAGTTGTTGAAATGCTAATGTAGATAAAACAGTGTTTGCATAAAATAATTGTAAAAAGAACTCAAAATATTTTTTTGCAAGATAATTTAACATTAATAAAAGGAAACAGTTATGTAAAAGTTTTAAAATAATTATCATATTAATATCTATTTATAAATTAAAAATAATTAATTAATAATTTGATTTACCTACTAATGGCATTACTTGATTAAAAAATATACAAATTGGAAATATTTTTGAAGTGAATGAAATTTTTAATTATGTAATATCTTATCGCTTTAGTTTCTTGAGATTATTTATTCAACTAATGGCATATTTCGAATCTAAAGTGTATAGTTCGATATGAACTCAAAAATTCCCAGTCATTCAAAAATAAATGCAGATTTTGAATTGGAAGGGTGGCAGGTAATTGTAAATAATATACTATCTTATATTAATGCTAATCAGCTATCTACAAAACAGTCAGATTAGAAAATTAACTATAATCATTTTGTGACTCTTGAGTTTATTAAGGAATCCTATTCCTCAAAGGTAATTTGGGATTTAAACTTACTTTCCAGAATACATGGTAATTATATCGTCAGGTCTAGTGGATTTGGGACCCACAGCATTTTCTGCAAGACAAAAAATGGCATGAAGATTTTCTTTGAAGCCCTTGAATGAAAGAAAAATACTTGTAGATTATTTTTGAAGTAAAATGTAAAAACACACAAACTTACACAAGAGTCTTATAAAATAATATTTTATTAAAATATTATGTACAGTAAAAATTTGAATTATTTAAAGTAACTACAAATGATCAGATTTGTTAGAAAATTACGGATTCATTAGACAATCGATCAAGTATAGCGAAACTTATTTTTTATCAGATACACCTGTATTAAGATTTAAGTATTAAAACATTTAGGCTGCTATGACGTAATATAATTATCACACATTCTGGATTATTAAACACAGATCACAAGGTTAGATAAGTTCAATAGAGTTGACAGCAAAGTCTTAATAATTTTTTTTAAAAAACTTATTTTTTCATAAACTGTTATTTATATAATATATTACATTTGATAACTGATTTAATGACCTTAGCTAGCTGCCCAAATGAAGAAGGGCACGCACACATGGCACAGCTATAAGCTCTCGAAGAAAGGTCTACAGGCATGGCCAGAGGAACAAACAGAATCAAGTTCATTTGTCTAATGAAACTGAGCTGTTATCAGTCCATATTGATGTGGGGGGGGGGATTTTCGGGCCAAATATTTAGCACTTGTGTTTAATCGAAGGAGGGCATTGAAACAAGAGATCGCTATTGTGAACATATCACAAACAACTCAACAAATAAATACTGGACTAATTTAGATAAAACCATGTGCTACTTTCAATTAGGTAACTGACAAAATTATAGACATGAATGCTAATATGCGCAAGTAACATTTAAAATTAAATGTAATAAAGATGAAGATATTAAAGAAAAATAGCATGCTTAGAACAGTTATTTTCACTAAATAGCATAAGTGTAGAGAACTACCATGTCTAAACAGGAATAAAAAAAAGGAGGCTAATACAGAATACCAATATGGAACTGAAAAAACAGTGAGATAGTGAAAGTGAATGAACAAGGGTAGCTTTTAAGCAGTGTGTGTGCGTATGATTTGTACCCAGCTAATTAGAACAATAATAATGCTGCGGATTCAGATCAATGCTGACAAGGGCAGCAAGAACAATATGAACACATAAACGGGTGAGCTTGTGTAAGAAGATAAATATACAAAGCCCAGCTGGCATGCTTAAATATAAAAATAGATGTATGTTCCAATACTTCTATGAAATTAGTGTTGAAAATACTACGGAGGATATTGTTTTAAGAAGATAAGTATTAGAAGTTTCATTATAGAGTATACATTTCATTACACAGCATAAGTGTCCAGATGCAATGAGATAAATTAATAAAAAATTAAGGTCATACTATTTCTTTTACTGTTTAAACAAAAAACAATTAATAAACAAGATTAGCACGAACTATCTACTATGGATTGTTGCATGACAGTAATATATATATATATAAAAATAAAAAAAACATAACTTAAAAAGAATGGGGTAGTTAAAAAAAAGGGAAAGTGAGTCAAGCTATAAAATAATTGTATAGCTCTGTTGAATAATACCAAATATTAAGAGGATTGCTATACCAAAGGAGCACTTCATAGCAAATTCTCTTTCACTTACATAAATAATTTAAAATTTTAAATATATATATTAAAAAAAAATGAGTTTAGTCCTAGAGTAAATCATGAAGTTTCAAATTGTGACGAACTTTTTCTTTCTTCAAAATATGAAAATGTGGACAAGTAATCCTGCATTAATTTGTTTGCATTTTGATTTTTTTTTAAAAAAACATTTTTTTTCAGCACTTGAAACTTCATGGTTTAATCTAAGTTAACCTGAACACACTTTTTCTAAACTTTTGGGGTTAAACAAAATTTGCCATGAAAAGTTTCTCCTGTGGTATTACATCCTCTTCTTGGAGAGAAACAGACAATCTAACTAAAAAGATAAAACAAAGTTACTAATCAAATAAACTGTACCATTGAAACTGTGACATAAAAAGCTCCTAGAATGGCAGCTGCTCCACCACAATCCCTCTTCATTCCAGTCATTGAAGACTAAAACAAATTTGAAACATTTCTATTGAAATACATATCTATAATATATATATATACATGTAGTATATTATATATAAATTACTATGGTTAAATAATACTCAGTAACTCAGTAAGAAATTATTACTCAGTAAGAAATTACATAGGTTAGAATTATATTACTACTACTACTAATGGAAATACTTAAATTATTTTTGGAAATGATTGAACAGAATCTTTGCTATATCTTTTTGATGAAAAAAAAAAAAAAAAAGGAAAGGTAAAAAAATAAATAAAAAAAAGGCATTTGTAAACAATGAAGGTACAATTTTAGTTTCGTTTTAGATCATCATTTAATAATTTTTTTTTTGGTGCTACATCTCAAGTGGGTACCTTACCAAAGCATATAACACTAGATCATTTTTGTAAATAAGGAGCTCTTAATGTTTAACTTTTAAAGCAAGATGTATATAAAAAAAAAGAATATTCAATATAAATATCAAAACTCAATTACATAATTGAGGGTACCATCTCATAGTTTAAAAACAATTTTATATTCAATTTATTGAATATATATTGTTCTTGAACTGTGAGATGGTACTCTAACCCATGATCAAGGCACATTTAATGTCATCACTGTAAGCCAAAAGCATTATATATCAAAATGAGCCTCACTGAGTTTTGAATCTGGGCACTCTAACATTCTTCTTGTTTAACTTTAAAATTTGGTTACAAAGTAAAACCTGAATTTGTCTATTTAAATACTACAGCAAATAAATCAATCAATTATATTTACTTAAAAAGTAGTTAAATCTTCCTGACATCTTATTAAGTTTTCTAATATGATTTTTATCCATGTACAAAACCTTAATATATCAGATTATTAATCAAATTTAGTAATCAGGGGTAAAAATTACTAATGACAGTTTAATAAAAAAAAAAAGCCTCACTTTAAATTAACAAATGAGTCCCATACAAAAATTCAGGTATGTTTGTTAATTATGTAACTGAAAATAATAAAAAGCAAACAAAACACTGAAATGAAAAAAATAAAAAAAGTTTTTACCCTAGACTTTATGCAGAGACCACCTGTATCATAAACAATGCCTTTTCCAACCCAAGCAATGGTTTCTTTTGCATTTGGAGGAGTATGACTAAGAACTGCTAGTGCGGGTGGGTGCTCTGCAGCTCTTCCAACAGAATAAATACCTAAACAATTAAAACAAGCTAATTTAAAAAGTTCTTTTTAATTGGAAAGAGATACAATAATTAGTTATAACCAATTCGCATTATTTGCACACTGTTTAAATTTTACTGTTTTACTGTTAAATTTACTGTTTAAATTTACCCAAATAATTAAATTTATTCTTTTTATTGTATCATATTTTTAATCTTATTAGTTATTTAAAAGTTCACAAAAAGTTCAAAACCTTAACTACAGCTCAGTTTTCTAGACAAAACTCATAGCTATTGAGGCTGCTTTGAATTATCATGTCAATAAGGTTGTCAATACTAACATCTGAGCGACATACAAAAATTCTATTCATCAACTGGGGACAACATGCTGACAGACAAACCTCAGAGAAATGCCCTTGTACGCAAGTGACTAACTCAGTGCTGCTTTGATAAGATCAAGCAGTAGAAGCGAATAAGCTGCTTTTTCTTAACCCTACAGACCTTGCATCTTTGACAGAAATGCAATTTAACTCAAGCCACTTGCTCGTAGATTAAATGCATTGGTTGCCAGAAGAGCCCTGAAGTTATTCTTCTTTGTTTGAAAACTAATAAATTCATAAACTTTATTCAGATGTTGCTGTATATGAAGTAGTTAAAGAACAACAAAAACTAAAGCATTATAAAGTAAATCAATAATCATCATAGAATTTTAAAATTTACCTCCAAGACCTCTCTTATCTAGTTCTTCTCCTTGAATAACTTCTAATTTGGCACTTAATTTATCAGCAACTAATTTTATTTCCTAAAAGGAGAAAGGCTTTAGATTACAGCTGATTATTTCTTTTGAAAATAGTTAAAACTCTTGTAATTATCACTAAAAAAAATTCTATTCAAATTTTTTTTAGTTCATTCCACTCAACACCTTTCTCAAATTACTTTAAAATTGATAAAAACTCATTGCAAAATAAATCAACATCAATTATTAAAAAATTTATATATAATTATAAATTTTAATTTAAAATAATTGAAAGGTATTTTTGATTTTAAAAAATTTCATTTCAAAATATATTTTGATAGGAAGTGTATGTGGATAAAAAAATGTCCTGTCCTCTCCATAGTTGTCCTCATACATATATAATAAATACAATGCAAAACTTATTTATTATAAGATTTGAACTTAGCTAAAAGTTCCGTCATTTAGAAATCTTAAAACAATTGTTCATTTATGCATGTGACAAATATAAAGAAAATTTTCTTTTTGAATCTAAAAGCGGAATCTATGAGTTCATAGCTTATTATAATTTTCATACATTCCATTTGTTTAGTAAGCCTATCTTTTAGAATCAATCCTCTCTTTATATATTAGAACATGAGTAGAATTCACTCAGATAATAATAATAAATATTGTTATTAAAGTAAGTGGTCAAACAAGCAGTAACTGGGCTTTAAATATCCAAATACATAAGAGAATATTTGATGCAAAACCAAATGTTTCTTGAATTGAATCAAGATTCTTTTTTTTCAAGATGTGTATCAAAAGTTTTCAACAAAAAATAAGAACTTTCTTTGCACAAAAAATTACAATTAGTTTAACTTAAATTTAAAAAAAAGTTATTGGGTGCATTTTTTAAAATTTGAACAAAAATTATTTATAAATTTATATTCAACAAAATTATTTACAAGATTAATATTATTCGTCCTGCTAAATTGATAAAGACATGTAGAAAATTAGGCAAACTAAGAAAGCCTTTATAAATTCATATAACAAATGTAAATTAGTGAATGGTCCCTATAATTAAATTTCTATTAAAATTTGTAATTTGGTTCAGTATTCTTGTAATGTAATGATGACAATTTTTTCAATAAATTTGAAACAAGAATACAATTATTATTAATGCTAAACATTTTAATCAAAAGTAAATTATTATATGATATATTCATCACATTTAACACATCTGATAATGCATTTTTTATTTCAATTACTTTTAAATCTCATGATAAAAGATATATTATTTTTAAATGACAAATCTGAATCATGCATAAGATTGCAATCAGCAAAATTCGAGAGATTTTCGGTTCAAAGGGTGGAAGATGAAGCCTGAAATAGAGAATCTCTTACAAAATACAGCAGACTTGTAGGTGTGAGTGCAAGAAACCTGCAAGAGGTCCCTAGAATCATTCATCCAGGATGTAAAATGATAGTTTTCTTTTAAAGCAGGCAACTAAATATGAAAATAGACTGTGGTTGAACTGTTAAAACAATTACAGGGTTCATGCTCTACTATAAAAATAAAATTCAAGTACTTTTCAAGGACTTTTTAAGACTTATTATAAAATTCTCAAGGACTTAAATTTTAGTTAAAGATAGACTAAAATTTAACATTTTAAACTAAAATGTTTTGACGATAAATGTTAGTCGATAATAGCAGTACTGAAAAATAAGACTTCCATTGCTCTCTCTTGATTTCGGAAAGTGATCTAAGTA